TGGTTCATGCGAACCGGATGGATGGGACCGGAACCAGAGGACAACGACGACAGCATCTCGGAATTCGCCACTGATGGCGAGTCTGATTCTGAATGGGGAAGTATGACTGATTAACGGCATCACCCCAAAAGCACGAAAAGGGGCAACAGCTCCAAAAGCATCATATGACCCATCAGCTTTCTGATCCCAACAACTCTCAGCATGGAAGCCCATTCTCGCGACATAACACAGAGCCGAGAACTCGACAACGACTATTTCCCTCCTGATCCCAATGATTTTCGAGCCCTCCCACTTCCGACTCTAGAGCCAGCGCCAGTCTCAGAAGGCGCAGCTGCCACTGCGACTTCAGAGAGCTCAACGCTTTCACCCTATTTCCTGCGCATCCTGTATATTTTCCGACCTCTTTCCCCGCCACCAGTGCTCTGGGAGGAGCAGCAGAGAGTGCGCTACTCATTTGCCGAGACAAGAGCCTTTCGATATGTCCAAGCCCGCCAGCTCAGGAATAGCGGCCCTTCGAATCATCGTGGAAGGCGACACCCACCCGACTCCACCCTGGCGGTTTATGTGGAGGGACGACGTTTGGGAAAGCCGCTTCGCCACGCAAAGATGGAAGTCCACTTCAAGGTAGTGAGACCCCCGGAAAGACAGATATATGAAGGACAGACGATATGGTTGCAGGGCGATCTTTGGGACTACTGGATGGTGGTGAAGAAAGACGGTGAACGCGGCCCCTACTCGTTGATGGAGATCATTCAAGGGTTCCATCGGCTTCGCACGCATGTCGCCGTCCTCCACCAGCACGTGGGATTGGCACGGGAATCACACGACGAGCTAGCCGGACATTCATGGGACCAAAACGAGAGAATGCGGAGTAGAGAATTGCCTCCACTTTACTGGACGGAGACAAAGGATCCCTCTGCGTATAGAATGCGCCGCTAAAGGGAATACAATCTCATTACACGAAGAAGCAGCGGAGATGAACGCATTGCGAAAGAGACGAAGAAATTAGCACTCGCGACACATTGCGGCCAACGGCCTGGACATTGGACGTAAAGTTCACGGCAGTACTGAATGAAGGCCGGCCAACGCCGATGGGAGGCGCAATCTAGTGTCCACCACCGTCCAATAAACTCATGTGGCGCTCCCGCAGGAACGGTCTCACATAAAGCTCAGGCGCGCGATGAAAGGGTTGCCCAGGAGAAGCAGGAGGATTCAAGATAAAGTAGTTTAAATGCGAATGAAGACAAAGAGACAACAAAGTTGAATCTTTAACCAAATCCACAACAAACAACAAATCCTAAACACTAATGTTACTACTATCGAGTTCGTATTGTAATGAGGGGAGCAGGTATTTAAGGGGTTGCTGTCTTAGACGTGTGCAGCGCGCGTGTTGTCCTGAGTGAATCAAGGCTTGGTAACCGAAGTTATAGCACCCTATTCGCAAAGTGGATTGTAAAGCGTCCAAAGCTATAGCCAAAATCCCAACTGTATCCAAGAGCCAAGGCTTTACAAGCCGTTCCAATTCCCAAGAGCCAACAAATCAAATCCCAACCAAAGGCTATACAAGCCGACACACAAACACAAGTCACACAATTCACAATCAAACAGGGGTCAGGAGTATCGCCAGGGGCGTGCAGGGATTTATATTATAACTTGGAACCGAACTATCTTGAGTAGCTTGGGTGACAAGTCCAGATCCAAACCTTGCGTTAAGGAGGGCCGTATAGCTGGGTGGCTGCCTCAATAACCGGGGTAGGATTCTGTACTGTACATGCCAGTGCTCTCGCTAATTTATACTGTACACTATAACGCTTACACAGAGAGAATTACATGATTGCGGATAAACGGACTAAAGGTGTGACGAACGATCGGGTATACATGTGTTTAAACTGAATAGAAAACGAGTCATATCGAGGGCCAAGAGGTCACAGTTGAAATAAGAAAGATTAATGACACTCCTGTGTGTCTGTCAGTTGCCTTGGAACCTATCTCGGACTTCGTGTGGTGCTTGAAGTCGAGATTAGGTCCTTGGTTCTGAATAGGGCCGCGCCCGTGGATGTGATACTCAGAACTGAAATCTACAAGGCTGCAGCTTTCAGTGAGTACCCCGCACTTCCTGAAGAAGGGCTTGAAAGGTTGAGTTCCTGGATTGGAACTCAAACCTTCCCGTTTAGAGTCTTCGATCGCGATTTGATGTCATCATGTCCGGATAATGCCGTGTCGGCCTATTCGGAACATGAGCCTGGGCAAGTGCTAACCGGTCACGTGAGCCAACGCGTATCCCATCTTGGTACAAAGAGCCGTAAACAATGGTCTTGTTCAGGCGTTCATAGCCACAAGCCATAATCCAAATAAATCCCCAGATACCCATTAGACGTATTGTGAATAGGGGAACCCTCTTGTACAACCTGAGTGTAAGTGACTGACCCAGTTTAGTTGTAACCCGTACAACAGCGCTAAGTCAGTATGATCGTTCTGAATAGCCCCTGCGGGTGGACCTCTGATAGTCCCTATTAAGAGTAGGCTCAAAGCATAATATCAGGAATGATATTATGCTTGAGACGCGCGTTTAAAAGCACAGAAAACGCGAAAAACGCGTGAAACAGGCCTATGCCCGACACACGGCTTATCAGCGACAAGGCACTCTTAACACCAGGCCTCCCGCACTACGCTCCCACACATGGAGGGAACCGCAGTCCTGATATCCAAAGACGAACAGATGCTGGCCGAAGAGGTGGAGCAGCTTTTTCGCAACAAGGCCCGCTTCCCTTCAGATGGCCGAAGGACTGCGAAACGCCCAGGCACTTATACGCCCAACAATCTAGAGGTGTTTTCCAACCCCCTTGCGGCGACATCGACAGAGACCATACGTGGGCACGCAGAAGCCCAGGATCTAGCACTGGCCGCGCCTACGTCCACTGAGATGTTTGACGCTATGCTGGACTCTAGCCTGGAGACGCACACCATTCTACCTTTGGAAAGCAGCTTACCACCGACTCGTGGCCGCCTCATGCATCGACGGCTGCGAGCCCCCACACACCCCAAAGTGACCATGTACACTCTCATTCGCCCTCACGACTTCGTTCCCAGCCAACCTCACGTTTATCGCACCAATTTCGTGGTGGATATTCTGTTCCGATCCATGGACGTCGAGATCGGCGTGAACTACATGCCCTGGAACGAAGAAGGATTTGAGGTTATTAGCGGTGTAAGGCGGAAGCTTATTGGAAAGGAAGTCTTGCGATGCAGCGGACGCCTGGCGGGTCGTTACACCGTTGAAGAGAAGATTTTCACTAGTCATGGTCGGACTATGGTGAAACTCAAGAATCGAGATCACCTATGCGCTGCAATCGTAGCGTTCCCAGCGGACCAAGTGGACATGCCGGACGTTGAGGCATTCAAGGAGCTCTTCGGATGAGCTTCAACCCGTTTCAGCCGACTCCGTAGCACGGATTGAACGGCCTGCAATGTATCACCGCCTTCTTGAAGACTATTTTTTTTCTGCTCCGTCCAAATCAGAAAAAGTAATAACCGAGGACGGTTAGAAGTTCGTTCCCCGCGGATGTCATGTCCCCAAAGTGTTTGGAGACAGAACTGATTTGCGGAGGAAAGAAAATAGTCTTCGCAAAGATGATGAAGCAAACGAAACTCAAGATCGGACGAGGACAACACATCATCAGAAATTGATGTTATCACTGATGCCATCACTTCGGCATCAGAGATCAGTTGTGATGCCACACCATCAGCCATCATACACAGCCATCATACACAGCAAACCTATGCGGCACAGCTTGTATCATCGAAACGCACAGTAAAGCTATGCGTACACAGCCCAGTCGGGCTGTGCACCATTGTTCATAGCCCTCAAGCACAGCAGAGCAATGCGCACAGCGCGGAGAACAATGGGAGAATGGAAATTGCTATGCGGTAAAAGAAACGAGGCCATGTTAAAAATAGAATTTCCCGAACAGTATAAATAGAGGACGAATGTACCCCGTAAAATCAATCTGAAATTACCATCGATCAACTCCGCAACCTACGCACCGCTTTCGAATCTGCTTGCACTCCGACAGTGTAAGTACATTCACCCCCGAGTATCACTGTAAGCCGATCTTACAGTCGTATTCACCCCGACCGCCGAGTTCGCTTGCTCTCCGACAGAGCTTTGTGAATTCACCTCCGCACGTCTCTCGAGCTTGCTTCCACTCCGACAGTGTTCGCAATCTCAACCCGTCTGGCCGAACTCGAAGACACTTTCTAGTGAATTCGACTTCACCCTCGCTTTCTGCCATCGCCGTCTCTTGTAATTGACCAAGGCTACGTTTTCACTTGGTTAAACAAAGCATTATTCTCACCACCCAATCCTAGTATCATTGCGATCTAGGACGAGAGCTTTTGTTTACCAACGAACTCGTTCCCGAAGTACGTTACTCCTCAATACACCGCCTCTGGGATATCTCTGGTACGTATTTTACTCACCGGATTTATTCTAGCACCCTCGACGCCCCTACAAATTTGATTGCTGTACTCGGTAGGATCTCCCGGCCAGGAATCTTATCAGTCACATCAGATTTTACTCTCCACAACCTACACCCACCTCACAAGAATCTTACTGCTCCGTCGGTAGTTCTTGTACATCTCTTACTTGACTTGGGATTCCGAACCTGTGAGAAACACCTGAACAACGTCGCTTCCGGTGGACCTCACGTATAACAATATATACGCTTGACAACGGCCAAGCCCTAACACATGTCAGATGGATCCTTTCTAGTAATAGTGGAAGCGGAGGTGCACTTCATACATTTGTAATGCGATTTTTCGGATGTTCGTTTGTATTCGTTAACTACGTCCGTTGGCCATGTCCGCTAGAGATCTTGGCCACATATCCTCAGGTTGGATGCACGTAGGTATGCACTAGGTTGGAACATGAGTGAGCGAGACTTCGAGGCCATCCTTCGACCTCCAGGCATGTAGTGCACGAAACGGGGTTTTGTGTGTTGTCCACTTTGGTTTAGTGGTTAAAGCGCCCACAGTTTGATTGGTTAGACTCGGGAGATCGTGGGTTCGATTCCCGCGAAGTGGCAACACAATGCGGGCCGGGCGCCTGGGCTGTGTCCCCGTGGTCGCGACGATTCTTCAGGGCGCGGTCCCCCTGCGAATGCTGGAGTTTCAAAGCCATTCGATGGCGTTCTTTTTCCTTTCCTTTTTCTTCCTCAACTTTTCCCTTATGTCATACTGAAATACGTCGGACGTTTCATCTGGCAACCTGTCGTAGCCATGCTCGGGCAGAACCAATGTTGGCACCAGCTGCAGGGAACCCAGCAAAAAGAAATGAGCCACCACATCGATCCGATTCGCCTTTGCTCCAACCGCAAATTTATCAGCGGTTTTTCTTCCTTGGCCCTGTACAGCAGGCCCAATAAATGGGCTTTGCGGGCTCTGGCGGTCCGTGTCAATGTCAATTTCAGGTCAAAAAGCCAGCCCGAATGCCGAATTTCGAATGCCATTATTCAACGGACTTTCACTCTCTTTCCACAACAACATCTGAACGCTCCATCTAACAGCTTTCTAGCCAGACTCAGTAGCTGTACAAGCAGCTCGGACAGAAAGATGCATTCGACCGGCTCCTTCTTCAGCGAAGCCGGGAGTTTTTCCATGGCGCCTAACAGAATCTGTAAATGCGCGGAAGGCGCAATACCTCAGTCTCCCGCTATGTGGGATCAAAAGACTATCATTAAATACCTGTAAATGCGCGGAAGGCGCAATACTACAAAATAGGTAAGGTATGATAAGAAATGTAAGTAAAGGACTCACCCTCAGTCTCCCGCTATGTGGGATCAAAAGACTGAGGGCGTCGAGATGGAATGTGAGGTTTATATGTAAAGTACACGTTCACCGTCTCACGGTGTCAATTCTTATCAAGGGTATCGATGGGCCGGAGGCCGGGGCGCAGCCTGGGAGAATTCATTTCCTGACACCCCCACTCGACCCAGGCCGTAGTCCCATTGAGAGACAGAACTTGAGGTGTTTGTCATGTGGTAGAGCCTTGGTAAAAATGTCTGCTACCATTTCCTCTGTCGGGTACCAGAGAACAACACATTCACCGTGGCGAACTAAGTCGTCTCGCACAAAGTGGTATTTGCGCTGTATGTGTTGAGTTCGCGCACGATACTGTGGGTCTTGAGATAGGATGATTGCTGCTCGGTTGTCACACCGCAATTCAGTGGGGTCGTGTTGTCTATGTCCGAGCTCATCAAAGAAGGAGCGCAACCACGCCAAATGTTGTCCAGCATTTGCGAGTCCAATATACTCGCTCTCGGTTGAGGATAATGCCACCATGGACTGTCTGCGGCTTGACCAGCCGATTGCTCCACGACTAGCAATAAAAACATAACCTGAGGTTGAACGAGATGTATCTCGATCACCGTTCCAGTTAGCATCACTGTAGCCGTAGAAGTTCATGTCCATGCTCAGATCGGCCCCATCATAGTGTAAGGCCAAATCCCGTGTGCCCTTGAGATATCGAAGCAGACGTTTAGCAGCAGCCCAGTGAATGCCTTTGGGATTTGCACTGAAGCGTCCTAGGACTCCAACAGTATGTGCAATATCAGGGCGAGTACCCAGCATTGCATACATGCAGGATCCAACCACACTTTGGTATGACACAACAGGTCCATCTGCAACGAGAGCCATTTGTGGCATTGTCTCATCACTTTCAGGGTCAAAAGCACTGAGGTCAGTGCCTGTTGCCATCGGCGTGAAAACCGGCTTGCAATCTGACATGCCGTAGCGAGCAAGAACCTTATCAATGTATTGATGTTGGTTGAGAGCTATTGTGTGCTTTTTACGGTCACGGACAATCTCGATGCCAAGTAGATACTTAGCTGTCCCCAGGTCTCGCATTTTGAAGCTGGAGGAGAGCATTCCCTTAATTATCTGGGAGAACTCCTTGGAAGTGGCAGCAAGAAGAAGGTCGTCCACATAGACTACAACGAAACATGTTTGTTTGCCCTCTTTGTAAACATAGAGGCAAGTTTCGGAGTTCAGTCGATGAAACCCTAGTTTCAGAAGTTTGGCATCAAGTGTCCGATTCCAAGTTCTTCCTGCCTGCTTCAGTCCATATAAGGATCGCTTCAGACGCCAGCAATGACCATCTGGGATTTCTACGGGGCTTGGAGGCATCAAGTAGATTTCCTCTTCAAGTTTCCCGTTGAGATAAGCTGTGGAAACATCCATTTGCTCAAGCTCGAGGTTGTACTTTGCAGCAAGGGCACATATGATGCGAACAGACTCCAGGTTAGCGGTAGGAGCAAAGACCTCTTTATAGTCAATGCCTTCCTTCTGAGTGTCTCCTCGAGCAACAATCCGAACCTTGTACCGTGCTATCTGACCTTTTTCATTGGTCTTGACTTTTGGTACAATTTTGGACTTGATAGGTTTAACACCCTCAGGAATTGGAACAACATCGTAGACATCATTCTCCTGGAATCCTGCAAGCTCTTCGTTTAGTCCAGCAACCCAATCATCAGCACTGGGACCATTCATGGCTGCATCCCAGCTGATAGGATCAAGTGGGTGTTGCTGCGCAGACAGTGCTTCGGCAATGACTTCATCAAGGCTGGCGAGGAGAACAGCTTCTGCAGGATCATCAAGTTCGGGTTCGGGTGAGGATGGCACATCATCTTGTGCTTCCCTCCGTGCGGCAGTCTCAGCTTCACGTTGAGCTTTTGACTGTGATTGTGGCCCTTGTGCAACCCGCTCATATTCAGCATTTGGATTTTTTGCTTGGACACGAGTGCGAGTGCTTCTTCTGGAGGGTTCAGATCTGACACCAGCAACTTTTCGAAGTGGCGGATTCCCTCTCTCAGAAGGGTGTGCAACAGATGGGGCTTCATCTGGCAATGGCAATGGATCAGCCTGAGGTGGGCTGTCCATTGGTGGAGGAACAGATATTGGAGTAGCCCCCACTGAACCTGGATCAGGTTGTAGTGGAATGTCTGTGTCATCATCGGCATCATAATAGGAGGTAGCTCGAGGCAATAGACTCTGAGAGACTCTCTCGAAATGTTCCCGAGAAGTAACTTCTGGCTCCAGTGGAGGTTGTATCATAATAGACGATGGATCATCGTCATTGAATCGGACATGTCTCGAGGTGATGATGTTTCCGTAGGTACCATCCTCATTTATCACGAGCAAGTCATAGGCTTTACTTCCTTCGTGGTATCCGACGAAGACACAGCGTTTAGCCTTGTTTCCGAATTTCTGTCTGTGGCGCTTCTCCTTTGGAATCAAGGGATATGCGCGGCATCCAAATCGGTGCAAGTGATTTATGTCCGCTGGTCGATCATATAGTATCTCGTGAGGAATGCGATAACCCTGTGAGGATGTGGGAGTTCGATTTATTGTGTAAGCGGCTGCAAGGAGAGCCAATTTCCAGAATTTGCGAGGTAGCCGGGAATCAATGAGCATAGTTGTAGCCCGAGTAACGAGAGTTTGATTCATTCTCTCAGCTACACCATTTTGTTCAGGTGTATATGGTGCTGTTACCTCATGTATTATTCCTAGCCGTTTGAATTCAGCCTCCATTTCCTTGGATGTGAACTCTCCTCCTCCGTCAGTCCGGAAGAATCGAGTCCAGCCTTCACCGAACTCCCAATTTGCAATGTGAGCCCTGAAGTGAGCTTCAGTGTCTTTTCGCCATTGTTTTATGCGGCTATAGACTTCAGACTTTTTCTTTGCAAATAGGACCCACACATTAGATGCGGAATGATCGACAAGTACAACCCAGTAGCGATATCCGCCAGGGGCTTCTGGTGTCACTGGCCCTCCAACATCACTCGAGATAATATCCAAAGGACCACGAGCTTTGGTTCGGCTCTTGGAAAACGGTAGTTTCTTCATTTTCCCAATAACACAAGCTTCACAGAACTTTGGTATGCCTGTCAAAGAAGTAATCTCTCCGAGCCGTCCTTTGCTCACAGAATTCTGAAGCAGTTGGAAATTTGTGTGTCCCGATATTTTGTGGAGGTGATTGATGTCCATTGCAAACAAAGCATGTGGATCCTGACTCAGTGGAGTGCAATCCATGTGATAGAGACCTTTCTTTTGTTTGGCCTCAATCATGCGCTTCCCTTTGGGATCTCGAATGATACATCCGTCACCCTGGAAAATGCACTGATATCCTGCTGGACAGACACAAGTGTAAGCCCGAAGGATGGGACATGCAATGCTCGCCGTAGAGACAGTTCAGTCATTCCTTGCTTTGTTTTGCAAGAGAACCGTAATGTCCCAATGCCAATTGCATCACAATATGTGTCATTCCCAAGGCGGACTTTCCTGGGAGGGTTTAAAACCTCATAAGTCCCAGTCTCAAACCAGTCCACATTAGGGCTCATTACTCGGGATGCACCAGAATCCAGTACAATGATCAGTTTTGAGGCACTTGAGTCACTCGAGATATAAGCAGACATAGCAGCATAGGATTTGGGAGATACGGAAGCTACATGGGCACTATCGCTATCTTCGGAGTCCGAGTCCGTGGAAGCGGCTGTGGGATTTGCCTTTGAAGTACGCTTTTTGCCCTTTGCCTTTGATTGGGATTTCGACTTCCCTTTGTTGGACTCCTGGATTAAGTTCTTCAAGTGGTAACAATCATCGCTTGTATGGGTCTTATTCTTCCCATGAACAACACAATGTTTGTCAAGACTGCTAGAGGATGATTTGGCCTTGGCAGTGAGAGCAGAGTCATCGCCCGCCGGCTCAGGGGGCTTCCCAACAGTGAGGAGACGAGCACGGACATTGTCCCAAGTCATGGCTGTTCCAAGGGACGAGGCAATGTTCCCTCTGATTCCAGTCCAATAAAGGTCATCCGGAAGTGTGCTGAGTAGAATGAGGGGTTGGAGCTCTGCAGGAAAAGGATACTTCAACCGTGTAAGACGGTCAAAGTAGCCCTTGATAATGCCGATGTGGGTTTCGATCTTAGGCCGAGGGATGAGTTCTCCATCACTCTCCGGCACAAGTTTGGTGCGGAAGAGAGCAGAGAAAACACCCATAGCGCTATCAGCACGATTCTCCTCCTCAAAAC